TGATATTAGAACATACAGAATGAAAACGATTAAACTGAAAACAATGAGTTTGAGTACAAGATTTCCTTGTATTTTTGCTTGTATTCCCCCCCCCCCTTGAAAACAGTGAAAACAGTTGAAAAAGGGTAGGGGTATGAACTCACCAGACGAGAAATGTGGCGAATTCGGATGCTAAGTGTTGGTCCGGGACTTGTAAACACGCGAGGCTCCTAATTATAATGTAAAGATACAAATTTGTATCTAATTAGGACCTAGATTGATTATTTGATAAGGACCATTACTTTCAATCGCGGAAACACTCCATTACGAGTGTTTGGAGGGACCCGGGTGGCGTTTAAGGACGGGAATTGAAGCGAGGGACTTGGGACTTGAGTTTACTCCCCATGAATAAACTTATACAATAGTTTTTGGTCCAAAACACCCATTCCCCATGAGTTTACGGCCGTAAACTCATGGTGGTTGGTTTATGGTGCAAATTTAGGTCATAAATGGGTATGGACACTTGAAAATGCTTGGATTAATTTTTCTTAAGGCTTGGATTGAATTAAAAACATCATTTATAATACATAAGGGAGTTTACGGCCTAGCCATGGGGTCTTTGGCCGTAAACTCTCAAATCTCCAAGATTTAGTGTTTTTAAGGTGTTAAAATCAATCACATGTGATTCTAAAAATTCCCACAAGACTTGAAATGAGTTTAAGGCTCCATTTGACACCTTATTATGAGTTTATGGCCATGAGACATGTTCTATGGCCGTAAACTCTAAAATTTGGGGTTTTGTTGTTTGTGAAGCCTTAAAACTATTTTTGGTTGGTCCTTTGTTTTATTCTAAGGCTTTTGGTGGTGTTGGATGGCTTTCAAACACCCTAGATTTGGATTTGCACCATGTTTTATGGAGTTTATTGCCCAAGCACAAGCCTTGGCCGTAAACTCATGTTAGTCCCCCAAAAATTGTGTTTCAAGTGTCCAAATGCAAATATCTATGTTCTATAATTCATAACTAAGGCATATGAGTGATTTGGAAGGGTTTAAGGGCATGAAAACCCTAGATATATGAGTTTACGGCCCAAAAATGATCCTTGGCCGTAAACTCCTTCAAATGACTCAAAATCCAAGTTTAAAATGTTATAAGTCCAATTCATAAAGCCATTTAGCCATATCTAAGGTCCAATTGTGCTTAGGAAGGGTTTTTGAGCTCCAAAACCCATGATATATGAGTTTACGGCCTACGATGGTTCCATGGCCGTAAAATCATGATTATGGTCCTATTTCATGTCTTGAATCTCGAATTTGAAGGCTAGGAATGTTACATAACAAGCTAAAGGAAGTACCTCAAAGATTTGGAGCTTAAAATTGATGATTTGGACCTTTAAACTTGGATTTAGGAGAGAGGTTAGAGAGAGAGTAGAGAGAGAAGGAAAAAGCTTCAAATGATGGGTTAAACACGTTTATATAGTTCCTAAAACTTGGACACGGTGGAATTCTACCTGATACCGGCATTAAACGGGGCTTTTGGTCGCACCCGATTAAGTTACCGTCACCCGACGGGAATGTTTCTAACTTTTTGAAATAAATACTCTTGGGTTAATTTCATGAGTTCCTAAGGGATTTGAACACTCATTAAATTATAATAACATATAAATTTAAATAAATTAGCCCGAAGCAAGAACGAAACGAATCGATTGACGGCGAAGTCTCACGGGTAGAACAAGTTTTTGACAATGGAAAACTTCGAGTTGTTACAGTATTAGCCCACGCTATGTAAAACAAATAGCCCATAATCTAATTAGTCTTCCTTTTAATCTCTAAATTAATTCATAATTAATTTAAGACTAAAACTAATTAAATAACGTAACTTCATATTAATATATTATAACTCATAATATATTAATAAACATATGTGTATAACTCTCATAAAATTATCCATAATAGTTTGGATGAGATGCAACCCAAATGGACCATGCCGGTCGGGTCAAGTATATACCTAATAAGTTATGGACTTAGACACCTTATCCAACAGACTCCCACTTGGATAAGTCTAATAACTGTATTTGCCTATAACTTCAGGAACCAACCAGCAATCGTAGCTCTCAAAAACTCCCGCGAACTATGAAGACTCTGTTGAACTATGAAGCACCATTTTAGATAAGTGATCACATAATCCTCTGTTCTCATGATATCAGCCGGACAAACACATGGAACTATGTCTTGCTTATTGTCTAGCAGTTGTTTCTCGATTTTCTGATTTGTTTGACGAAGAACTTCACTTAACACATCGGTTTAGTTCTGACCAGGCCTGGTACATGGGTCAACACAAAATCATGGAGGGGCCCAGATATCGCTTCTATTTCTAGAAGGAACAGATAAACTTCGACTGATATGCTTGTTCTACTACTTATTGAATTGTACACAAAGGCACGTTTTATAACATCAAGTTACTGATGTGTTTACGTGCAATCAATGCACAACCAACTCATAGGTAACAACTCATATCTCTAGGTTTGAAGATTTATATGATGTTATCATCTCACGATCACTCGAGATAAATTCCATGAAGTGATACAAGTGAGCGTGGGTTTATACCAATACTCATAACGTATGAGTACTCATGAATGTTGAAGCAACCATTGCCATGTCTAAACACCTTTAAGGCATCTACAAACCTAATTCATGACAATCTTGATTCATACCTACTTCCGACGTATGATCGATTGTGGAGGTTTGAATAAATTAATTATTCTGGAAGTCAAAACATGCAAAACTGAAACAATAGTAAATAATTGACAATGATAGTAACACTTTACTCATAAATAAATCACAAATTTTATTCATCATCAAACATCGATTACATTTTACAAGTTTCAGGAAAACTATCTAATCTGTAAAACTAATATCGTCCCTCAGTCCGATGCGTCTCGCATGCTGAAAATGCTTAACCCTCGTCTGTCCCTTCGTAAGGGGATCTGCAGGATTCTCATCCGACAATATCCTCCTTGTCACAAGGATTCCTTCTTCAATCTTGTGTATTATGAAGTGATATTTTCTGTCAATGTGTCGGGATCTGCCATGATCTCTTGGTTCCTTGGCTAAGATAACCGCACCATTGTTGTCACAAAAAATCTTTATAGGTTCCTTAATAGCTGGTACAACTCCAAGGTCTCCGATGAAGTTCTTTAGCCATATCGCCTCCTTCGCTGCTTCACTCACTGCTATATACTCTGATTCACAAGTCGAATCAGCCACCGTCTCCTGCTTGGAACTCTTCCAAGAAATTGCCCCTCCATTTAAGGTAAAGATCCAGCCTGACTGAGAGCGGAAATTATCCCTATCAGTCTGAAAACCAGCATCACTATACCCTAATACTTTCAAGTCATCACTGCCACCAAGGGTAAGGATCCAATCCTTAGTCCTCCGCAGGTACTTGAGAATGTTCTTTACCGCGGTCCAATGAGCCTTGCCAGGGTTTCCCTGATACCTGCTGACCATGCTCAAAGCAAATGCCACATCAGGACGGGTACATTTCTCTTAATATCCTTATCCCTAGGATATAGGTAGCCTCTCCTAGGTCTTTCATAGCAAAGCACTTCCCAAGCCAGGACTTAACCTCCTGCAAGGTTGGGATGTCATTTCCTATGAGTAGTATGTCATCCACATACAGTACCAAGAAGCTAACTATACTCCCACTAGCTCTGACATACACGCAAGTCTCATCTTTGCTTCTCGAGAAGCCAAAATCTTTTACCTTCTCATCAAAACAAAGATTCCAGCTACGAGATGCTTGTTTTAATCCATAAATGGATTTTTCAAGCTTGCATACTCTATTAGGGTACTCTGCACTGACAAAACCCTCTGGCTGATTCATGTATACATCCTCAGCACTACTAGAATATAGGCCTTTAATGACACGCAAATTATGACACTCAGTGGTTTACAATACGCGAAAGCGTGTGTTCTAAAAATAATGTCATCTCTTCTAAAATTTAAAGGATTTAGAACACGCATTTTTGCGTGCCCTTAAAATTAGTGTATGAACAAAAACAATTAAAAACACGGAAGACACTCAGCATAATAGGCGTATCATCTAAGCATGTCGTTTTTATAAAATTTTCATCAAACACGCGTTCTCCATCTTTAACAGATGAGGGGGAAATCAAATCCCAAAAAGTTAAAACCCCCGCCTTGTTTCTCATCTCCTACCAGCGGAACGCCCCATTTCTTTTCCTTGACCTAATTTATCAAGCTCTGCAAATTCTATGGCCACTTTAAAATCTATAGTTGAATCGGATCCAACCATACCTTTGCCCAAAATTCTTTAGATATGGTGTGCCTTCATCTTTTTTCTTCACATATGGCCCATCTTCACATAATCAACAAAGATACTAGGGCTTTGAACCGGACCTCACAAAAGCCTTGGTGTTCACAGCAGCTTCTCACTCTTACTATGTGTCTCTATTTCTTCCTCTCACACCGGCGATTTAGGGCCATCCGTATTTCATATCTTCTAGTTGCTAGAGCCTGGAAGTTATTAAAGAAACACAAAATCATCATATTCTTATCCTCTTCATGTTCTCTTCCGCCGACCACCCTAAGCCGGTCAAAAAACCCTTCCGTTGGAAACCCTAAGTCGTCGCCGTCTTAATTAGTTCCTCCATCGCCCACCAGACGTGTTCTTCTCCAACATCGAGCAGCATCAACCACGCATTCTGTTACTCCATATACGAATTCTTTTTCCTCCAACCCTCTTGCCGACCACCCTTTCTCCTCCCCCTTGCCGGTACTCTTCTAGCCCTTTATTTTTTTTCTTTTTGAAAGCAGATGTATGTTTGGTGAAAGAAACATTACCTTTATGCAGAAATTAGTTGTTGAATGTTTATATATAGATATGTGCATATCGTTTGCTCCCTTTCATGTTCTTTTCTACATTTGGCACAGATGTTGATAAGTTTTCTCAGGTCCAAGTACATGAAAAAATTTTAAGCTAATTCTTTTGGCTTAATTCTATGCAAAACATCTCATTTATGGTGCAAAACACCCCAGTTGGAAGAACAAGAGTTTCAGAATCTAAAGAGGTTATGGAAAGTATCAGTAACCTCTCAAGATCTTCGGATGATTGGCAATATATGGGGATCGACTGTCTTCTGTTACTTCTTCATGTCAGGTAAGACCTACGTATCTCACATTCTCTGACTTTTGTGTTATTACATGTGTGTAATTGGTCATTTGGAAATATAGTTCGTCTTTTCTAACAAAAATATCAAATGAATTCACCAAAAGGAAGAGATTTTAAATTTTGATGGTTAAATGAACCAACATCGAACATAAACACTGAAATCATTTCTGAAACTTCTAAAGCATAGTAATCAAAACTAAATAACCAATTATAAGAATCAATATGAAATAAACTAAATAAAACTTGAGAAAGCGCCATACACTATTACATACCTGACTACCTATGTTTGACATCGGAAGTCAAGGGTATATATGATTTTTATTTAGAATAAAATGTATAAAACAGAACAATATATCATGCAGGCAATTTTGTATTCGAACTTTTTGCAGGGTTATATACCATTTTAGAAGACCCTGTTATCAGAAAAGATGGAGATACTAAAATAAAAATATACACACAGTTTAACCATAATGGTGGGCCACTTTGTATATGTTTCGACAACTTAGTCCCCACAAAGCTTTTCATCCAAAAATGGTAAAAAGCAAAATCTCACAATGCTATGCTCTAAGTGTAACGTGTAAGCTTTTTGACAGCAACAAAGCAACAGGGACAGAAAACTGAGGATAGGAAAGGAAGAACTAGTAAAATACAGGCACATGCATGTATAATTGGCTACATATAATCTATCAAATGTATGTTTTTTGTGTTTTTATCATTTTTATTTTGTTTTTCGTGTTTCCATGAAGTTCTTGAATACCATGTATGTACAAATTCAATCTACCTTCTGAATCACCAGGTTTTCTATCTTTTTTCTCTTAACAGTCAAGTATAATTTTTATATTTACTGTTCTAATGCTTTGATTTTGATTTGGATGAAACCTATGTTGATAAAAAGTTATATGTATATATTTTGGTAAAAGATTAACTTATCGCCCAATATCTGTTGAAACTGGAGTCATTGCTCAGGTAAAAACCTTTTCAAATTCTTTTTTATTTAATAAAAACACTTAGTTTATCTTCTTAATGAGCTTAATTAATGACAGGCATATGGTTCAGCAAGAGTGAAGATGGGTAAAACTGAAGTCATACCTTTGACTTGTCGTCTCAACTTGTTGACCATATCAAACATCACTGCTGGAAACAAGGAGCAGATTCAGGTCATAATTTGAAATTTTCATCAAGATTTAAACATCAAACATTATTTTCTTGACTGATATATCTACTTTATGATTTTTACAGACATCCATTGAAGCAAATATCATTGGCCCTCTTATTCAATAGCTTCAAAATGAAGAATTTGACATCAAAAAAGAGGTTGCATCAGCTATCTCAAATGCTACTTCTGGTGGAAGCCATGACCAAATCAAGTGGGATTCATAAACTTAAATTTTCATTATAATTTGTTTAGTATTTACATCTCAAAAGCTATATATTTATTGATAATAAAATGGTGGATGCAGGTATTTGGTAAGTGAGGGATGTATTAAGCTTTTGTGTGATTTACTGATATGTCCAGACCCAAGAATATTGACAGTTTGTTTAGTGGGGCTCGAGAATATATTAAAAGTTGGTGAAGACGAAAAGAATTTGGGAAGATCAGGGGATGTGAATCTTTATGCACAGATGGAGAAGGGTTGGAGAAGATTCAGAATTTACAGAGTCATGATAACAATGAGATTTATGAGAAAGCAGTGAAGCTTCTTGAGACTTATTGGTTGGAGGAAGTGGATGATGCTATTCCACTTGGCGATGCAGTTGCAACTCAGCCTCCTGCTGGTTTCCATTTTGGAGATGGTGATTTTCCGTTCCTTCTGGTGGATTCAACTTTAACTGAGGTAGGTAATAATAATATGTGTTATTTTGAATACCTTTGGAATGGAATGACTGATTCCGTCGGAATTGAAAAAACATCTTGTTTGGTTTGAATTTCATTCCATGAGGGAGGGGTGTTTTTTTAATACATTGAAGGAAAGGAATGATAATGTTATACTTAAAAATTAGTTTTATTTATATTATCTATTTTTCTTCAATAAGAAAAATCTTTTTATATTTTTTCTTAAGTTTTAATCAAATCAATCTTTTTCCTAATTAACGTCAAAACAATTATTTAATTATGTTATGTTAAGATTTTATGGTATATAGTTTTTTTTTTTATAAACATTTAAGATCTTTTTTATTTGCTATTTGAAATAACATATACAGTATATAATAAAATGGTTCATTCCATTGGAATGAAAAATAAGTTTTTTTTCTTGATGGAATGGAATTTGATCTTTTTTTATAGAAGGTAATGCTTTCCATTTTCTTAAGTTGGGGATGATTCTTTTATTCCATTAGTTTTTTAATATTTTTGAACTTTTTTTTTATCGATTTACAATATTATTTTCTGAAAATAACTATATATTAATTCTATCTAGGTTGTAATCAGCTTTTGTTATGTTTGTACTTTGTTGATAGAAGTCTACATTAGGAAGACCAAGTTGTTCAACCCCTGACAAAGGAAACGTTTCTGTATACATCGATTGCAGTCCCACAGCAGCACCACAATACAAGGTTCAAATGACCGTTTTACCCTCACAAAATCTTTCAAAAATGTTTTTGTATGGCAGGAGTTGGAATCAATCTTTCATCTTTGTCAATTGTGGATGGGAGAGTGTGTTGGGGTTTATATATTGATGGTATTGCGATAAATATAGATGGAAATATACTCGATGGCGTCCTCTCACTCGTAAACTCAAAACATTTGTTGTTATTATAAGTCCATATCTGTGTGTTTAAATGCAAGAAATAGCAACCAACTTTAATTTATTTATTTATTATTTTGAAAATTATTCTTAATGCAGGCTTCTAGTTTTGGTTCAAATGGACGTTCTTCGATTGTTTCTTCATTCGAAACACCGTATCCCCAAAACCCTTTAGGAAAGTCTAATCTTCCAGGGTAGATGTATTTGTTTCCACAACAGATCTAGATAAAGAACCACCTAATGCCCAATTTCATACAGGTAATGGCCAATGGGATGAGTATTTTTTTCAATGTGAAGTTAAATCCCTTTCCATATACTAAAATTACGATAATGTCGTTTTTTTTAGGGCATGTACAAATTACGGCTGGAATATTGGAAAGAGTTAGATTTGTATCGTCAGCTCTACTTGGTCATGTCATTTGGTGAAGAAAACTTCTATTTTGGGGTCATCCACCCATCTTAGGTCTATGGGTGGTCAAACTTGTAGTCATTGCTTTGTTTGTTGCATTATCATTGGCCAACATTGTAAGTTTTTTTTATTCGAATAATCTTAGTCTCTTTTCAAATAATTTTTCAATTCACACCTCTCTAATATTTTTCAAATTTTCATCTTAATTACTTATAAGGTATTATGTACAAGGATTCAACCTGGTTGAGAACAACAAATAGTTCTGCTGCCTCGAGACTCATATCTTCAGGTATGATAAGCTTCTAATACAACTATTTATAAAAATTTGAGCTTATGTGGTAATATGTCAACAGTTAAAACATTTTTAAAATATCATTTCTTTTGCAGGGTTATTTTAATAATGTCTCAGAGTATCTCAGAATTAGTCCACCTCTATATTTTGTTGTGAAAAAATATAATTACTGATATACTTTTCTTTTCTTCTTAATGCACACTTCTGGTGAAGTTCATTTCAACTTGTAATGTAGACTAAAAGTTTTTTTTTTTCACATTAATTTTTTCTGTTTTCTCAGTTTGATCAGAATCAAGACATACAAATCAGCTGTGCTCCATCAATCATTGTGATGTAAACTCCCTTTTGAATGAGGTATGAAAGTGTTGATTACTTGGGGAACCGTTTGGTTGGATTGAATGGAATTATGATGAAAGGTGTAACGGAATGAGTTGTTAATTCTATTCTGAATACTAATGTGTTGATTATGAAAACAGGTATCATGTGGAAACAGAAGCATAACAATGAGAAGTAGAAACAAGGTGTCCCTTAGCAATGTAGTATTAGGTTATATAGTTAGGGAAAACCTCTTAATAACAATGTACAATCAGATCCCCTTAATACTAATGTATTACAATTTTTTGACATGATGTTATTGGATGAAATTGATTGTTTTGATCTATATTTGTTTCCACATTTTTTTCTTATACGTAAATGACTATCGTAAAGACGCGTCGCAAATGTATATCGTAAATGGTTGTTGAAGTTTATGACACGCAAATACGTGTCATCTTTATTTATGACAGGGGCTTTAATGATATGCAATGCGGGTCATCTTCCTTTACGACACGCAAATGCATGTCGTCTTCCTTTATGACAGAGCCTTCCTTGATACGTATTGCGTATCGTAAATGTGCGTCGTAAATGAGCGTCGTAAATGCATGTCGTCTATAGACGACGCGCAAAAGCGCGTCGTCTCTCTTTATGACAGGGCCTTCCTTGACGCGCAATTGCGCATCGTCTAAGCTTTTTACGACGCGCAATGAGCGTCGTAAAAGGATGTTTTTCTAGTAGTGCAACCAACTTTCCGTTAAGGAAAGCGGGTTTGACATCCATTTGCCATATTTCATAATCATGAAATGCTGCAATGGCTAACATAACCCTAATAGACTTAATCTTTGTTACCGGGGAGAAGGTTTCATCATAATCAATACCTTGAGTTTGAGTAAAACCCTTCGCAACCAGTCGAGCCTTATAAGTATGCACTTTTCCTTCCATGTCGGTCTTCCTCTTGAAGATCCATTTGCACCCGACTGTTTTACGGCCTGGTACATTGTCAACCAAGTTCCAAACTTGATTGTCATACATGGACTGTATCTCGCTGTCCATAGCCTCTTTCCATTTAGCAGACTCCGGGCCTGCCATGGCTTCCTTAACACTGCTGGGTTCATCCAAATTTACCAGTGTACTATCACTAATAAACGTATCACCTTCCGTAGTAATATGAAAACCATAATAAAATGAAGGTGTGTTCCTAACCCTTGTAGAACGCCTTGGAGGTACAGCCTCGTCAGCTGGATCAACAGAAGTTTCCTCCTCAGGTTGATTGCTAGTGTCTGAGGTTCCTTCACCAATTGATTCTTGAATTTCTTCAAGATCAATCTGCCTCCCACTGTCTCCTTGGCTTATAAATTCTTTCTCCCGAAAGATCCCTCTTCGTGCTACAAAGACCACATTCTCACAGGGTTTGTAGAAGAGGTAACCGAAGGATTTTTGTGGGTAGCCGATGAAAATACACCTTTCGCTTCGGGGTTCAAGCTTATCATGAGTTTCACGCCTCACGAAAGCTTCGCAACCCCAAATTTTGATGTGGTCCAAATTGGGAACCTTCCCAGTCCACATCTCATGAGGTGTTTTGGTAACCTTCTTTGTAGGGACTAGATTAAGGATATGGGCGGCAGTCTCTAAGGCATACCCCCAAAAAGAAATTGGTAACGAAACTCGACTCATCATAGAGCGAACCATGTCCAACAAGGTTCGATTACACCTCTCAGCTACACCATTCAGCTGTGGCGTCCTGGGAGGAGTCAATTGTGAGACAATCCCACACTCCTTAAGATAGTCAAGGAACTCGGTACTAAGATACTCACCACCTCGATCGGATCAAAGCATCTTAATGTTCCTGCCCAATTGATTTTCTACTTCCTGTTTGAATTCCTTAAACCTTTCAAAGGTTTCTGACTTATGTTTGATTAAGTAGACATACCCATATCTACTAAAACCATAAATAAAAGTCACATAATACTGATTAGCATCCCTTGTGGCGGTTTTGAATGGCTCACATACATCAGTATGTATTAGGTCCAACAAACCGTCACCCTTCTCACAAGTTCCAGTGAAGGGTGATTTTTTCATTTTTCCAAGTAGACAAGATTCACAATTATCATCCGACTTAAGGTCAAATGATTCTAAGACTCCACTCTTTTGGAGTTGGCCTATGCGTTTCTTGTTTACATGTCCAAGACGACAATGCCACAATGATGCTTTATCTAGGCTAGTAGAAGAATCAATATACAACACATTATTTCCTAAGTTGTCTACAATCGACACAGTTTCATACACACCATCACAAGGTAATGCTTTAAAATAAAACACATTATTAAAGAAAGCATTAATACCACCACATTCATTATCAAACGAAAAGGTAAAACCTTGTTTGTACAAAGCATGAAAAGAAATAATATTCCTCGCCATTTCAAACGTGTACACACATTTATTCAAATCTAATTTTAACCCATTATTAAGCAACAAAGTATAAACTCCAATCTTGGAAACAGGTGAAGCCTTCCTATTCCCCATGATTAAGTTTATCTTTCCGTGCTCTACATCCTCACTTCTTCTTAGGCCCTGCAAATCAGAACATATGTGAATACCACATCCTGTATCAAGAACCCAAGAGTTAGAATATGTTGAGTAATTAGACAATATAGTGTAAATACCTGCATGGGTGGGTTTCACTTTCCCATCCTTTAGATCCTGCAAGTACTTAGGGCGGTTTCGCTTCCATTGTGCCTTTTCATGGCAATAAAAGCATTCAGCATCCTTAGGAAGGGCAGAAGGAGTGGCAGAACCGCTCTTAGTCTTTGATGAGGAGCCTTTAAGAGACTTTCCCTTGGTACCCTTCGAAGGGTGCTTCCTCTTCATCCCTTTGCCTTGCCCAATAGCTAAAATAGGGGTAGATGTTGGAGTAGGAGTAGTAGAGGTAACAACCGCTTTACCCTTAAGACCGGATTCCGCGGTCTTCAAGAGTCCTTGAAGCTTACTGAGGGTAACTTCCTCCTTGTTCATATGGTATGTCATTTGAAAATGATCATAACAAGAAGGAAAGGAGTGCAAAATGATGTCAATTGCCAACTCCTCAGGGATGTTAACATTCAGCTTCAGCAAACGGTTCACATACCTTTGCATCTTTTGCATGTGGCCCGTGACGGATTCACCGTCCTTCATGCGGGTAGTTATTATGGAGGACATTATTTCATACCGCTCGTGACGAGCACTCTGATGGTACCTTTCCATCAGGCCTTGGTGCATCTCAAAAGGGTAGAAATCTTCATATGAGTTTTGGAGCTCGGCTGTCATCGTGGCCATCATGATACATGCCACCTTAGTATCACCTCTCTCACGAGTCCTGAATTCTGCGATATCCTCAGGAGTAGCAGTAGACTGATCAAGTTCTTTTAACTCCTTATCGAGGACATATTTCTTATCCTCATAACAAGTAACCATCCTAATGTTCCTAATCTAATCCATGAAGTTGGAACCATCAATGATGACCCTCCTACAAAGATTCATGAGAGAGAAAGAACTAGTTGGGTTAGAGCCTGAAGCATTAGTGTTGGAAGACATCTGGAAAAAGAAAGTAAGTTTAGATTAGATATTTAGGATCCTTAATAAGACACCCAAATGTAATATTAAGGCTAGGATCCAATCACAATATATTACACATAGAAGAGGGATGCCGTAATCTAAGTAATAATATATTTGAAAGGTAGGTGAATGACGATTCACCAATTTCCACCATGAAAACGAAATGATTTATTAGGTTTAATTGGATTTGAAATTCCTAGATTCTTTTGAGATTCATTGAACTTTTCAATGGCATGTTTCAATCTCGATTGTGCCCTTCAAGTTTTGTGACTGGGATGCCGAGGATCACAAAACAAGGTGTGAATAACCATGCTAATTCACTTGGTACTCTTAATATTATCACCTAATCAATGTGCTGGTTAACCACACACGCTCCATTGATCTATGACAAACATTAAGTCACCCTTCGTGATCCTTACTAGTCCTAGTTAGTGTGCTAGTTAACCACACACGCTCCACCAACGACTTGGTAAGGTACAAAGTGTGAATTCCATGGACTAGCACCATGTTCACATTTTTCCAAAAGTAACTAAGATTGGGAATTAAAAGATTTTAGTTACTTTATAATATTCATTATACTTTTAATGAGGA